GATTCAAAAATATTTATGATCGTAGAACGCAAAGTATTTGAAAATTTACACTTTACATTCAAAAAAGCGGTCCAAGATTATTTAGACAATCTAGCAAATCCAGCTTCCTCGAAAATTATAAAATTTAATTTTGTCAAATTTATTTTTTTTTTGTGATAAACCCTTAAAAAAAGTTAAAAATATTTAGATAATACCAGTCACAGCGTAAGAAAATAAATGGATTATAAAAAATGGACCTTTGACGTTCTCATTAGTTAGACAACGCTTGATATTTTTATTAATGTAAAAGATATATAATAAAAGATATGTATATAATTTGCCTAGTCAAGGTGGATTCATAGATTACAAGTACAGGAGTATGTTATTTTATAAATTTTAAATAGGAATTATAGGAAAAAATTTGAGTTGACATCATCAAATTGTTGGTGGGATAACTAAAAAATTTTGCTTAGTGTTTTACTATCTCCTCGACATTCCTAAGCTACTTATACAATTTAACAACAATCGGCCGGGTAGTTTCGGGAATTATTTGTGTAATAAAAATGGACGCAGGGAGACGACAGACAGACAGACAGACAGATGACAAATACACAAACAGACGAAAACGAGAAATCTATTTTTTCATAGTCTAGCTATACATGTATTTGATAAAGTATACACTACTCTTAATATTGTTCAGTTTTATCATCGCAACTACTAGCCCCGCCCACCCGCCCTCTATTTTCTTAGAGACTATATCACTTGCCACAATCTTATCTTAACAAGTACTAGGCCCGCCCATCCTCTCTTTCTTCTCATTTTGGCGACTAATTTTATTTCTGTATAAGATACACCTTTCATTCAAAATAAATAAAATTAATCACCGAAATGAAGACGGGTGGGTGGGCGGGGTTAGTCATATCTTCATCTGTAGAGTAGGAGTGGGAACTGATAGCAATTAGGCTGTAAAAAGAGCACTAATCGTAACTTTTTGTTGTACTATTTGTTATAAGATTTACTTCGTATTTCAGGATAAAAATCAATGTGAGTACGGGTGGGTGGGCGGGGCTAAGCTTAACTTTTCCCTAAAGAGTTTTTTATAGGTAAGCAGTAGACGCGCCGACCCACCCCCTCTTCATTTTGGTGACTAATTTTAATACTGTTTATTATTGACAATATGATTGTCTTATGGCGAATTCATAAACCACAAGTATAGAAGTATCTTATTTTATAAAATTTAAATGACGTTTACTAAAAAATTGAGGAGACGTCATCAGATTATTGGTGGCGATGATTAATCAAATTTTGGTTGACTTTTTACCATCTAAGAACATCACCTTGATATACAGGCTATTCAAAAAGTGGCGCACCAACTCAAAGGTCCATTATTAAATTCACAAGTCTAAGTTCGAGAAAAAAAATCATTAAAAAATTCCTTACGTCAATTTGACGTTTACTTACAAAAACAAAATATCGCTTTAGAAAGATATATCAGAAAACGCGAAAATGAGCCACTGTCGTCAGATTCACCCTAAACAATTTTTAAGTTTATTGTTATATTATAAAATGAAAAATCCGATGGATAAAGATATCCACAAAATTATTTTGAATAGTGAAAGTTCGATCGATTTTTGGTGTGCCCCACACCAAATAGTGAATTAAAATATATCCTCTCCTGTATATCTATATCCTCTATGACTAAACAATATTAAGAGTAATCACTGGAATCAAGAGGAGGTGGGTGGGTGGAGCTACTGCTTGCTTATAAAAGATTATGCATGCAAAAGTTAAACTTAGCCCCGCCCACCCACCCGTTCTCTCATTTTTTTTTCAGAAATAAAAAGTAAATGTTATATCAAATAAGTAGTATAACAAAAAATCACGATAAACGCTTTTTTTAACAGACTACGTTCTATTGGTCCCCATTCTCACTTGAAAAAACCACATATAATTCACCCCGCCTACATTTCAGTGATTCATTTTGTCTAGTCCAAATGAAAGGTGGATCTCAACAGAAGAGAGATAAAATCGTTATAATGAAAATAGCGTGTGTAAGTGGGGCTAGTATCCGCTAAGATAAGATTGATTTTGGTAAATGACACACTCTCTACGAAAATAAAGGGTGGGTGGGAGGAGGTAGTACTTGATAAGATAAGATTCATTTTGGTAAATGACATATCTTCTAAGAAAAAAAGGTGGGTGGGCGAGGCTAAAACTTGCTAAGCTAGGGCTGAACAATATTAAGAGTAGTCACTGGAACGAAGAATGGGGGGGGGAGTTACCGCTTGCTCATAAAACTAGAAAAAAGCTAAATTTATATATTTTAATTAAATCATCATCATGCTTATCACAGCTTTAAAACATCTGCAAGATTTCAAAACATTCGGTATTCCAGATTCAAATTAAATTGCAAAGTGTTGTCTTATAATTTTTTTTTTCAAAAAATCTGAACGTTTTTAGTAAAAAGTCAATAAGGCGGCTTAAACTACATGTGAAGGACTATGTCCTTTGTGCAATGTAAAACCCATTTACAATGTATAATTTTGATTTGACGTCATCACATTATAGGTAGGGCTGACTAGACAAATTTTGGTTAGCGTTTTACCATCTACGTGACATTACTAATATAAATACAAAATTTGACAATAATCGGCCCAGTACTTTTGGAGATTATCTGTTTAATAAAAATCGGGAAGGCAGACAGACGGACAGACAGACAGACGGAAACGTATTCTAGGGGTCATGAAAGGTCGAGAAAACATAAAAGTCAAAAGTCGGTCGACGGATTCGATTACAATACTTTCTTCGCTTACGCTCGGGAAGGAAAAATGGTCGAAGGTTATTTCGGCAGAACTTTTCTCGTCCCTGAAATACAATAAAACATACCCAGCTTTTTCGATTCGAAAAATAATAAAATTTGTTTTGCCAATTTTTTTATGAGAACCGCTATAAGTTGAAATAAAGATATATCTATGCCATATTAAAGTAAAGACTTACATTTATTTACGATAGGATTTATTCAGCAAAATTTTGAGATGACGTCATCAATATTTTGGAGGGGATAAACATAATTACGATACGATAACTTTAAAACGTCTGCAAGATTTCAAAGCATTCGATTTCACAGTTTCTGATTTTATCAATAAAAGTAATTGACTTATTAATTATTTGGCAAAATTTTGAGATTACGTCATCAGTTTTTAGGAGGGGGTCGTAAATTAATTTTGATTAACCATTTACCATATTTTCGAAAAACTTAAAACGGTTGCAAGGTTTTAAAGCACTCGGTTTTGTAATTTCAAAGTTAAATTGTAACATGTTAAAAAATCTGGATGCCTAGGATAAAATTCAAAATATCTGTGTAATAAAAGTCGACACAGACTCGAACCGATGACAGACGGCAGACAGACAGACGGAAACGAGAAACCTATGTATTCTAGGGTCGTGAGACGCCGAGAAAACATAAAAGTAGCCAGTCGCCCAATAGACTCGATTACAATACTTCCTCAGCTTACGATCGGGATCTGAAAACCACCAAAAAAGAAAAAATTACACGTTTTAAAACAAAAAAAGCGGACCCATTTAATAAAGAACGGTTTTTTAACATCTCTACTTGTGGTCATTTATAAGCTCCAGAATTGTTGCTTTAAAATTTATAATGTAGAGGATGATCAAAAAATGGAGGATAAGCTTGATGGTACGTTGTTACGAAGGCCCCGAAGAAACGAAGAACGAAGAAAAAACTGGTTAAAAAAATTTCTAAATAATTTTTTTTAAATATTAAGCTTCAAAATTTAACTTCGTAATTCTGACATTTTTAAATGTGAATTAAATTGACAGTCTAAAATTCCCATAAAAATGGTCAAATATAACTAAGTATGCTAGTAAATTATTATTAAATATTAATGTGTAACTAATTATTTAACTGTCTTTAAACAAATCTGAATACGAAATTAATTCTCCAACTTTGAAGTTTAAAATTTTCAAAAGTTTAGTGCAGGATTTTTTTAACTATTTTCATCATCTACATAATATTTCTAATATACATACAAAATTTGACAGCAATCGTTCCAGTAGTTTCCACAAATATCTGCCTAATAAAAAATCGACACAGAGAGACAAACAGACAGACAGATGGAAATGAGAGACCTATATTGTCGTAGTATAGGGAACATGAAACGTTGAGAAAACATTCGATTGCAATACTTCCTTAGTTTATGCTCGGGAAGTAAAAATTCGGCTTTTTTAGCATGACATATTTTTCAAATTTTACAAGAGAAAATTTTATAGGTAGTGTTATAGACAAATCGAATTATAACTGAAGAAGAGATACAGGAAAAAAAATCTACATACATAGTTATTTTCTAAGATATAAAAAACGGAGAAAGATCTCAAATGATAAGAAAGGAAAGAAAAATAAAGAATTACTGAAAAATATAAAAGGTGGTCCAAGGTTATTTCGACAGAACTTTCCTCGCCCCTGAAAAAAATATTTTAAGAATTTTTTAAATATTACTTTTTATGACAATTCATATAACTTAAAACAAAGATATGTGTGCAGTAAAGGTAGGCATGCTATTCGCATGTTTCAAGTGAATTGTTCCATTACAAAATTTGGTGATGACATAATCAATTCTAGCAAGAACATATATATCAATTTGGGTATACGGAGTGTAATACGTACTAACAATAACAACACATTTTTCCAAGAAACCATAAACTCAAAACAATACTTGTGTGATAACTTGCCTAAAGAAAGATTTTCTGAACTGAACTCGACATGTTGAAGAAAAATGTGAAAGTTGTGAAAAGTCTAACGAGAAAAAAATGATTTAAATTTTTTATTCTTAAAACGCGCAAAAAATTTCACAAGGATCAGTTCAATAGTTAATTAGAACATGTGATAATTAAATAAAAACGGAAGACCTACTTTTGATAATCTAGGACCTATAATGAATCTATAAATTATTCGTAAAATGGAGCTTATTACTAATATAATAATATTAGAAATGTGTCATTACCTGTAGGTATTCGTCGAGCTGCATCCTCGTCCCATGCCAGTAGAGAAGTTCATCAACATAACCCACTAAGAAAATAGCCGCTACAATTCCTGAGATGACAAGCCCAATGACGAGCAAAGAAAATATGATCGACCACCAGTTGTGTCCCTCATCTTCATGTAATGCTAGCTCCTAAACACAGAAACGAGCAATTATCAGTTAAACAAGTTAGCATCTCTCCTCCCCAAACTACTCTACTCTTAAAAAGGGTTACTTGTAAGCGCAAAGTTAAGCTCGCATGACGTGAACAAATGTGTGAATTTCTGTGTACCGCAGCTGCTGTATAAATTACGTGGTTAATTCTCACATGGTTTTCGGTTTAATAAAAGATATGTACTTCGCAGACTCCCTCGTGGGGCGCCCCGCATTGCCTGCAACTAATTTTTCTGCGACTGCTGGGCTCCGAGCAACTCAGTCTTTTATCAACTTTCACCGCATTTTCATCAACACCGGCGTTTAATAGTTCCAACATTTCACTGTCACTGCCTCTTGTGCGGCTTCTTTCCACAGAAACGTGTGAGCCGTCCATACTGATGCGAAAACGCGTCAAGAACTACCAACATGTGTTGCTGTTCATATTTCTAGCCTGTTTGACTCGCTGATTTGTGTACATAAACGAACCACTGAAAAACTTGCGGGTATTTTTGGAACTAATAGTTGAGTTAGATTAGCACGAAGGACGTGAAACTTCACATGTGGGGGGGTTATCTAGCTGATTTTCGCAACTCCCACATCAACAATTGCGGTTGATGAAACCGTTATTCAAATGAGAGTGTTTTGGTTTAGATTTATGACTTAATCATTGTTTGAATTGATTTTATGATTATCAACACGTGTCAGGATGTGTTCATTCCAATTTTTATTATCTAATATTTCAATATAATAGTGTTTATTTCCACAAATGATGGAGATTTGTCATTAATAAAATTAATTAATTACTATAAAGTAGTCAATAACTGATAAACATCTAAAGACATTAAAAGTCGTAATAAAGACTACATATCATAAAATTCATTTCACACAAATAGTGGGATTCCAGAAAAGACATAATTTTAAACCCGAAATTTTTTGTTTAAGAGGTTGCAACCTATTTACAAGACAACATACAGACTAAGAGTAAACACAATAATACATACCTATGCGAAAATATTTATTTGTTTTCCAGTTATCGAAAAAATCAGTCTTTTTTAATGCCACATCTATTTGAGAGTAAATCAAAACTATCTATGGGTGTTTTGGCACCGAAGCAGAATTTTCATTTCGAGAAAAATGTTCTGGGCAGATCATAAGAAATTTTTTAAGGACACTCAGTTATGTGACAAAATTGTTTCGTAAAACTGGTGGAATTAAGACGAAATCAGGAAGTCGCACATTAACAAAAGTAACTCCAGAGGCCAACAGGTCCGACAGGTGATGAATGACACCCATACATCTTTAAAAAGGTTCGTAACAAGTTGACATGTCATATTATCACAGAACTATTAAAAAAGACCTAATGCTATTTCCTACAAAATACAGGTGTTTCAAGAACCTGATTATGATGAGAATGATTTATTTTAAGTGGTTTAATCAAACAAGAACAACGATCTTCTCACTATAACTTTTTTAGTAATGAAGCCTCATTTCATCTATTAGGATATGCAAACTCGTATGTGGAGTGTAAAAATTGGAAGAAACGCCATTACATCCACAAAAAAATTGTAATTTCTTGTGCCATTTCTCGAAGAAGACCATTTGGTCCCATTTGTTGACCAGTTTTATCTTGAAGAATTGCAGAATCGATATTTTCAACATGATGGCACAACAGCTCAACAAGTGAACTTTCTAAGGGAATTTTATGATGACAGTTTAATTAAAGGTGGCTTTACATTATGAGATTAAATCATAAAATTTTTCACATGAATTTATCAGTTCATAAATCATTGAGCAGCCCGCCATGTGATTTAGCGCACGACAATAACCATCTTTTTGAAATAGCGACGGATCTCTAATCCTTTTGTCAGACAAAATTTCAATATGATTTTCTGAGTGACTGTCCTTATGACAGGTTCCTTATGATAAAATCATTAAATGTAAAGGCGCCTTAACTCCCATACAGACCATATCGATCCACCTCGATCACCTGATTTGACACCTTTAGATTGTTTCTGGTTCCCGACATTGAAAAACAGAATTTTTAAATAATCAATGTATTCAACTGAAGAGCTAAAAGTGAACAGTATTAGTTTTGACTAGTGATTTACTATTTTAAAGCAGCCTTTTCCATTTTCAGTGATATATGGATTTTTTTAATTTCTGTTTAAATTACTTTTGTGTGTTTGTATTAGCTTTTTACGTTTTTATGATTTTTGGAACATTTAATTTGGTTTTTCGAAACTCCTTCCTCCAGGTTTTTCTCTCATTTACAGGTCAGGTGTCAAATGTGTCAAAATAAAAAATATTTTTTGAGTTCGTCAATATATTTTTCCATTTTGAGCTGTCAAAATAGCTCCCGACAAAATAACCCAGTAAGAAATTTTTGTAGATAAAAAATAAATTCAACGAAAACTTCCAAATAATCTCTTACATTTGCATATCTTATTGTCGCCATGTTATTTTGTCCTTTTTTAATTGACATATATAATTTTCTATCAACAAAATGATGTTCAAAAACATGTTGCACATGCTAATTTCTTGTAGAGCAACAAGGATTTTGCAATTAAGCTCCGCCCTTCGGCTTGCAACGAATAAAAAAGGTATCACAATTGAGATGAGGGCGGGTGGGCGGGGTTTGAAATTTGCCTTTTTTTTCTTAACATATGGACCTAGAGTTTTCTTTTCACTACAAGGAATTGAAAACTGTTTAAACGGGTAAATCTGTAGAGAGGTGTAGGGGATAAAATTTGCCATTTTAAACATGCTTTCAGTTTCTTGTTGTGAAGAGAAGGCTATGTAGATTAAGAACAAAAAAGGAAAATGTAAGCCCCACCCACCCACCCTATCTCAATTGTGACGATTTTTCTTTGTTCGTCGTGAGCTGCGGGGATGGAGCTTAATTGTAAAATCCGTATTTTTCTGCAAGAATTACTATATCACTGACTATATGAAACGTGTTCTTCAATGATCGTGTTACTCAAAGAAAACTATATGTATTAAATAAAAAAAAAGCCAAAAGATAAATCACACCCATCTGTCTGGATCTCAGTCGTGATGAATTTTCATATTTTCTGTTTCAAATATGTTTTAAGTTTCTTGTTGTGAAAAGAAGACTACGCATATTAAGAAAAAAAAAGGCAAAACGTAAGCCCCACCCACCCACCGTACCTCAGGTGTAATGATTTTTTTATTCATTGTTAGCCAAGAGGGTGGAGCTTAAAATCCTTATTTCTCTACAAAAAAATTCATGTAAAACATGGTTTTAAGTATCGTGATGCTCAAAAAGTACTACATATATTAAGTAAAAAATAAAACCAAAGGTTAAGCCCCACCCTTCCGCGTCGAACTTAATCGTGAAGAATTTTTCATTCGTTGCCAGAACGAGGGGCGGAGTGTAACTGCAAAATCCATATTTCCCTACAAAAACTTACCATTATAAACATGTTTTAAGTTCGTGTAATGAAAAGATAACTAAGTATATTAAAAAATGGCAAAATAAATGCCCCGCCCACCCGCCCTATCTCAATTGTAATGAATTTTTGTATTCATTGTGAGTCAAGGGGGTGGAGGTTAAAATCTTTATTTCTCTGCAAGAACTTTTGTGTAAAACATGTTTTTAAGTATCCTCTTGTTCAAAGAACACTAAGTATATTAAGTAAAAAATAAAGCCAAAGTTTAAGCCCCACCCTTCTATGTCGAACTTAATCGTGCAGAATTTTTCATTCGTTGCCAGACCGAGGGGCGGAGTGTAATTGCAAAATCCATATTTCCTTACAAAAATGTACCATTATAAACATGTTTTAAGTTCGTGTAATGAAAAGATAACTAAGTATAATAAAAAATGGCAAAATAAATGCCCCGCCCACCCGCCCTATCTCAATTGTAATGAATTTTTTTATTCATTGTGAGTCAAGGGGGTGGAGCTTAAAATCTTTATTTCTCTGCAAGAACTTTTGTGTAAAACATATTTTTAAGCATCGTCTTGTTCAAAGAACACTAAGTATATTAAGTAAAAAATAAAGCCAAAGATTAAGCCCCACCCTTCTATGTCGAACTTAATCGTGCAGAATTTTTCATTCGTTGCCAGACCGAGGGGCGGAGTGTAATTGCAAAATCCATATTTCCCTACAAAAATGTACCATTATAAACATGTTTTAAGTTCGTATAATGAAAAGATAACTAAGTATAATAAAAAATGGCAAAATAAATGCTCCGCCCACCCGCCCTATCTCAATTGTAATGAATTTTTTTATTCATTGTGAGTCAAGGGAGTGGAGCTTAAAATCTTTATTTCTCTGCAAGAACTTTTGTGTAAAACATGTTTTAAGTATCGTCTTGTTCAAAGAACACTAAGTATATTAAGTAAAAAATAAAGCCAAAGATTAAGCCCCATCCTTCCATGTCTAACTTAATCGTGAAGAATTTTTCATTCGTTGCCAGACCGAGGGGTGGAGTGTAATTGCAAAATCCATATTTCACTACAAAAATTTACCATTATAAACATGTTTTAAGTTCGTGTCATGAAAAGATAACTAAGTATAATTAAAAAATACAAAATAAATGCCCCGCCCACCAACCCTAGCTCAATGGTAATGAATTTTTTTTATTTTTGTGAGTCAAGGGGGTGGAGCTTAAAATCTTTATTTCTCTACAAGAAATTTCAGGTAAACATTATTTTATTAATTATCGTTTTGCTCAAAGAGTACTCTGTATATTAAGTTAAAAATAAAGCCAAAGATTAAGCCCCATCTTCCATGTCGAACTTAATCGTGAAGAATTTTTCATTCGTTGCCAGACCGAGGGGCGGAGTATGATTGCAAAATCCATATTTCCCCACAAAAATTGACCATTTTAAACATGTTTTAAGTTCGTGTCATGAAAATATAACTAAGTATATTAAAAAAAGGCAAAATAATTGCCCCGCCCACCCACCCTATCTCAATTGTAATGAATTTTTTCTGTTCATTGTGAGTTAAAGTGTGGAGATTAAAATCCTT